ACCTGAGAATTCACAGAATCCTGTGTGAATTGAAATGTTCACTGTCTACTCCAGAACATGATAATGCGCCACAGTGCTTTTGGATTTATGTAAGAGTCTCTAGAATCCTCAGAGATTTATCACTGAAGGCAAACGTTAATAAAAGGTTGCTATATAACCACAATGATTTTATAAGTGTTATTGAAAGACGAGTGTGTACTTATTTCAAAAGGTAACACATTACTTTCTAATGTTGTCTGTACTCTTAAGCTAAGGTTGGGAAGGCAGATGTAATCAAGCAATCAGCTAGTAAGGAATTTTGGGTGCATTATTCTGTTTCCACAGTTTCATGTGAATAAAAAGGGATAATTCAAGTTACCAGGATTCCTTATGACCAGAAATTCATATAGTTGTTTAAAAATGTCTCTAGTCAATTTGTTAATCAGTTTACTAGCTGTGAGATGCTTTGGGTATTTATTTTTAGTAATTACCTTGGCAGAAAAACTCACTTTGTTTATGTATCTGAATACTTTAACATTGAACAAAGTTCAAGATGCAAAGTCCAAAGAGTTGGAGACTTGAGTGATCCTGAAAAACTTCTTAAATTTTAATGGTATGCTATATTCCACTATATATTATGTTAAAAATAACATAATTCCTTTAATCCGTACAACAGTTAGAAAACATTATTACAGTAGAAGGTGATTTTTATTAGTTAGTTTGATGAAATGCACCTGAAGTATTTACTAATTACCAATCACATATTGATTTGCACAGTGACTAGGCTTATATTTCAAATTACAGTTAGCCCTGACTTAACCATGAACCACACTTACAACCATCTGCACTCTTTTGTTTTCAGTACATCTTATTAATAGTAATATGTACTATAGGAAAAGTTGCAGTGCATAATTTGCTGATATTATTACTTTCAAATGTTCACTTGCAGATTTTCAATGTTATGATTTATTGTTTAAAACATTGCCAGACTACATGCTATGAAAACTAAAACAAAAATGTGGCATTTGACTTCTGCCAGAACCAATTTATACTCAAGATATGAGAATGGAATCTCGTTGAAGCTGGGGACTTCTTGTACTTGATAAATTAATAATATTTCAATTATAAATATTTAAAATGTTAATACACTGACAGTAGGTGAGTACATTCATTCCTAATTTGAAATTCCCTTCTGTTAAAATTATCAAAGCAGTTGCAATTCTATTTTTTAAAGTAATCTTACTTAACCAACAAACATTTATGATCTATAGCTATCTGTTGTTGTTAAGTGCCGTCAAGTCAATTCCGACCCATAACGACCCTGTGTAGGATTTCCAAGGAGTAGCTAGTGAGCTTGAACTGCCGACCTTACAGTTCAAACAGTTTTACGGTCTGGCGCATTAACCCACAGTGCCACACCAGAACTAACTAGTCTCTCCAAAAAGCTTAAAGGATAATCTTAGTATCCATCTATTGACAAGTGCATTTGATTTTAAGGTAAGTATTATTTAACTTCAGTTATAGTATATTTACTAAAGAAATGTCACATTTCCTATGTTGACTCCTCACTTTATATGTAATGTTGTGTAAATTGTATAATCTCATTCAGACTCAAGTTCCTTATCTATAAATTAATAATGAAAACACTATTTATTAGAAAATAAAATAGAACTATGTATATAAGAGGGAGTTATGGTAGCATAGCAAAGTCAACATTTGAATTTAACAGCCACTGCATTAAGAGCTCTGGTAGCGTAGTGGTTACAAATTGGGCTGTGAACCTCAAGGTTGGCAGTTCGAAACTACCAGCTGTTCCGTGGGAGAAAGATTGAGGCTTTCTGCTCCCATAAATAGGAAACAGGGTCGTTATGGAGTCGGAACCGACTCCATGGCACATAACCACACCACATGGGAGAAAGATGAGACTCTCTGCTCCGGTTCCGAAAATCCTATGCAGGGTTGCTAGGAGTCAGAACCAGCTTAACAGCACACAACCACCACCACCATGATAAGGGAGCTTAGAAATTTTTCCTGGAAATATTCCATGTATTTTAATTCAGTTTTCCATGAGCATTTTGAAACACTTTCATATATAAAAATTCTTATTTCTACTATCATGTACTTAGCTTAACGGAGTGTTGGTAGCGTAGTTGTTATAGTCGAGCAGCAGTTCGAAACTACCACCTGTTACAAGGTTGAAAGATGAGGCTTTCTGGTCCCATAAATATATACAGTGTTAGATATCCTATACAAGATCCCTATGAGTCAGAACCACAGTACATAACCATCAATCAACCATCAATCTTGTAATAAATGCTAACTTTACTTTTTCAAGTTTTCATTACAATACCTATATTTTACTTGGTTATTGTACTCATCAATCTCTTTCAGTTTATTTGGTCTTTCTTTAGCTTAAAATCACTTTAAATGCATTGTTGGAAAACGTATAATATGAAAAGACAAACTATCATATACTGAGTTTTCTAATGTTTCTGCCAAAATTGATAAGTATTTGTCAATTTTTGTCAAATTAATTTTGACAATTTATCAATTAATGCTAATATAAAATGGCACTTGAATGATATCCTTATGACTTATAATCTTTTATTATAATGATATGTGCATTAATGGAAATGCAGTCATGAAATTGATAACTTCTTTATGCATATTTATTTCATCATAGATCTTTTTTGATCCCAGCTACATTCTCTCATGGATTCCCTAGTAAATGGGAACCACACTGAAGTAACAGAATTCATTTTATTGGGCTTAACAGACGACCCTACCCTTCGGATCATCCTCTTCATGGTTATCCTGTGCATGTATGTGGTAACCATATCTGGCAATCTCAGCACAATCATTCTGATCAGAATCTCCTCTCAGCTCCATCATCCTATGTACTTTTTCCTGAGTCAGTTGGCATTGGCCGACATAGGCTATTCAACTTCTGTCACACCCAATATGCTTGTGAATTTCCTGGTAGAGAGAAATACAATCTCCTATCT